AGCTCTCTGCACCTTCAGCTTCCATTGTATTTCATTCAGGCATTTCCATGCGTCCCTTCATTAAACGAGGCGCCAGGACTGTACCCACCAAACCAAATAGACGGGGAAATTTTAAACTGATGCCAAGAAGAGGGCGAAGGAAGAGCTACCCTGTTTCCCCGAAAATAAGACTTCCCCGATAATAAGATAACAATCGGGCTTTTGGGCGCATGCGCTAAAATAAGCCTCCCTCCCCCAAAAATAAGCCCTCCCCCGAAAATATTTAAAAGCAGAGCTGGAAATCAGGTAAGACAGCAAGAGGAGCCCCGTCTTCAGTGGTGGGATTCAGCCAGTTCGCACCTATTCGGGAGAACCGGTTGTTAACTTTCTAAGCAGTTCGGAGAACTGGTTGTTGGAAGAAATCTTATTTTGTTTTTTTCCACTTTATACAGGGCTAATCCTGTAAGGAAGGCAGGAAGGAAACATTCTGGTGTTGTTTCTAGCCTAACCTTTATTGCCCTGCTTACAGAAACTGCCTCTCTGGTTAACCCTTATTACATTGTAACAGCTAAAATGAAGCGCCCACCGACCTGAGTGACATTGAGTTGGCCATGCCCACACGGTCACATGACCACCGAGCCACGTCTACCCATCTGGCCATTAGGGCAGAGAACCAGTTGTTAAATTATTTGAATTCCACCACTGCCCGTCTTGCTCCACGCGCCCCAAAATAATAAGACCTCCCCGAAAACAAGGCCAAGCGCTTTTTTCGGGGTTCAAAAAAAAAATATAAGACAGGGTCTTATTTTCGGGGAAACATGGGTAGTAGGCTCTGCGGGGGGGACGACACACAGAATCCCCTCTTCTGCGCCAATTTCTGAGCCGGTTGTATACAAACACATCCGAAATACACGCAGAGAGAAGAGAGAGAGAGAGAGAGAGAGAGAGAGAGAGAAGTTAATTGCAGGGAGAAGGGAAGACACAGAGTTTTTAAAAACCTCAGTGCGTGAAGGGGGCAGTTAAAACATTCCCAGCCCATGGTTGAATGGTGTGGGGGGCACGGTCTGAAATACGAGTCCAAGAAGCAGGGAGAGAGAAGGGCTCCTTAAGTCACTTAACTATGTTTAATTGCTAACACGTGAGTTTCCAAGGATTTGGGGAGGTGGCACAGCTGCCCAAGGAAGGCGATGCCCGCTTCCAGGAAGCTCCGGAGGCAGAAAGCAGGCCTGCCCAGTCGGTGCTCATTGCCCCAGCTGCCAACTTCGTCTCCTTGACCCTCCGATGGGCTCTGAATAGAGTTTAGCTCCTCCGGCTATTCTCTGCTCCAGCTTCTGGTCCTAAAAAGCAGGGACATTCCACTCTCTGTCTCGCTGCCTAAATTATCCTTCTGAGCTCACTCAAAAATAGCAGCCACCGGCGGGCACAGGGAGAGATTGAAGTGGGGGAGGATGAAATGGGTAGGGGAAGGAAATCATTTCCCCCCCAAAATCACCAGGAAAAGAAGGCAGCCTTCCGAGAATTCAAGCAGCCAGTCAAAAAGGGCTTTGATGCCCACGGTGGATTTGGGGCCAGTTGTAACTGCTTCCTCCTGTCTCATTCCAAACACATTGGACTGGCCGGAGACTAGGGGCAGCGGTCCAACTTCTCTGGAGACTGGGCAACGAGGAGTGGGGAGGGTTGGCCAACGGCAAGGCCACACCCCTGGAAAGAAGTTTTTTTTTTTTTCCAAACAGCCTGATGCATCAACCAGTGGGAAGGATCTACAGGTGTGGGCCAGGGGCCAGGCCCCACCCGTTGCTTGCAGGACAGAAAGCCTGGGGGGCAAGGGGGGGAATCTCCCCCCCCTCAACACAGGAGGGGGGGGAAAGATTCCCTTGCCGGCCAAGCTGCCTCCAGCCGGGCTTCCCTCCTCCCTTAGACCCACCGCATCACTGGCACGGCTGCCTCCCGCGGTCCCACCCCCTCCGACCTGCTTATCAAGCATTCCTCGCATGCTCTTTGCCCTCTTTGCAGCCAGCGGGGAAGTGTGGGGGGGGGGGGGAGAGCGAAAAAAAGGCCTCCCCAGCTTAACCCCTTGCATCGAAACAACACACCCAGGAAGAGGAGGGGAATGGCAGGTTCGAGCCGGGCGGCCTCCACCCAAAGGAATGCACTCCATTGGGGGAGAAAGGCCGTCCATCCGGAGAGGGTCTCACCTCGGACCCCCTTGCTTTGAGCACACGAGGCTCTTTTCTGTAGAGAGGGAAGCCGAGAATTATCTGCGGAGTGCTAGGAGGGAAAGGGGGTGCAGGTCATTGGCGGGGAGGGGGTGCAAGCATTTCATCCAAGGTGGGGTGCCTGACAGGTATAGGTATATACTTATAGGTATAGGTATAGCTAAGTAGCTGGAAACGCCCCTTCTAGGCCCCACGGAAGGCATCCCTCCCTTTCTCACCCCACCGAGAGAGTCCTCAAAACGAGGCGCCCGAAGACTGAATGAAGGTTTGCAAAACATAAGAACTAAAGAAAAATTTCCTGACCGTTAGAACAATTAACCCGTGGAACAACTTGCCTCCAGAAGTTGTAAACGCTCCAACACTGGACAGTTTTTAAAGATGTTGGATAACCGTTTATCTGAAGTGGTGTAGGGTTTCCTGCCTAAGCAGGGGGTTGGACTAGAAGACCTCCAAGGTCCCTTCCAACTCTGTTTATTCTATTCTAATAAGGGCCTCACAGAGAGCCTGCGCGATCAATTGGACAGAGGACAAGAGGCAGCCAAGTTCACTGACCACTCAGGATCGTGTGGCTTAAATGCTTCTCTACAATCAAACCGGCCCCCCCAAAGAAGTCAGATGCCCCCAAGAAGGACGCAAGGCTGGTCAGGGAGACCCCCCTCTCCCCCATCAAAAAAAGTGCCAAAACACAGCATTTTATTTCACTACTACGACGCAAGAAAATCAAAGCAGGCCTGTCCGACCAGAAGAAGAAAAGTTAATCTAATATCTGTGTAATTTGCAAAGTGTACCTTAAGAAGACAATTACAATCCAGAATACAACTAAACCAATCAACCCATATGGAAAATGCATTATCCGTCCACCCAACCCTTGAAGTCTTTCCCGAATGAGCCCATATTTTGGCCGCCCTCAGCCGCCCGGAGTCTCCGGAGAAAGGCGGCATATAAATTGAACTAATAATAAATAAATCTCCACCACACACACCCTCAAAGGTTAAACAGGGCTGAGATGAAACAGTGGTCGACAAGCGACCGGACCAGGAGTAAACCTAACGCAGCTTCTGCACCGGTTTTAGGCAAGAAGGGGAGTCCCTCCCCACATTACCCTGCACTCTGGGGCTGGCACTGGGCGGCGTCTGGGCGACCCGCCGATGCCATCTTTCATTACCTTTCCAAGCGCTCGGATGCCCAGAATAGAAGGTCGCATGGACCAGCTGGAGAACAAGGCCAAAGCAAGGCTGTGCCCAGGGCATCAGGCGTGGAGAGGTGGGCACCTCGTCATCTGCTTGTCCAATGGGGTACCCAGATGCCCATCCAGACTGTTGCCCCATCCTCCTGTTGTCCGGCCGGAGGGGACCCACAGCCGGGCTTGCCCACTAAGCAAGACTACTCTCTGTCTCCCCCTAAGGAAACTGACCCTCCAGGCCGGCTTTCCTCCCTGAAACTGAGCCTACGGCAGAGAGTCATATTGGAAGGGGACCTAGAGATCATCTAGCCCATCCCTGCTAGCCTTCCGACGCTGCTGTGGGCCTCTCCGACAAGGCTGCTCTGTCTCCTCTGAGGAAACTGACCCTCCAGGCGGGCTTTCCCCCCTGAAACCGACCCTACAGCAGAGAGTCATGTTGGAAGGGAACCCTAGAGGTCATCTAGGCTAGCCACCCCTGATGGCCATTGTGGGCCTCTCCGACAAGGCTGCTCACTGTCTCCTCTGAAAGGCCAGCTTTCCTGCCTGAAACTGAGCCTATGGCAGAGAGTCATGTTGGAAAGAGGACCCTAGAGGTCATCTAGCCGCCCTGAGTCTCCGGAGAAAGGCGGCATATAAATTGAACTAATAAATCTAGGCTAGCCCACCTCTGCTGGCCACTGTGGGCCTCTCCGACAAGGCTGCTCACTGTCTCCTCTGAGGAAACTGACCTTCCAGGCCGGCCTTTCCTCCCTGAAACCGAGCCTACGGCAGAGAGTCATGTTGGAAGGGAACCCTAGAGGTCATCTAGCCCACCCCTGCTGGCCACGGGACACTTCTTCCCATGCTGCTGTGGGCAGTGTCTCCAACAAGGCTGCTCTGTCTCCTCTGAGGAAACTGACCCTACAGCAGACAGAAATGTTGGAAGGGGAACCTAGAGGTCATCTAGGCTAGCCCACCCCTGCTAGCCGCAGGACGCTCCTTCCGACGCTGCCGTGGGCCTCTCCGACAAGGCTGCTCACTGTCTCCTCTGAGGAAACTGGCCCTCCAGGCCGGCCTTTCCTCCCTGAAACTGAGCCTAAGGCAGAGAGCCATGTTGGAAAGGGGACCTAGAGGTCATCTACTCCACCCACCCACCCTCCCGGAATGCAGGGTGGGGCAAGGAGCCCACCCACCCAAAAAGTCAGCCAACAAGGGTGCCCATTGTTCAACCAAGGGGAAAAGGAGGCTGCCCACCTGGGAGCCAGGAAGGAACCCAAGGAAGCTGCCCGGCCAAGGGACCGAGGAGAGTGCCAAGCCTCCGGGCTGGGCATGGAGCTCTTTCCCTGCAAAAAAACGTACCCGGAGGGCAGATGCGCCCGGGAAGCAGGATCGGGGACTGCCCGGGAAGCATCAGATTTGCGCGGCTTTCCCCTCCTCGCCCTGCGATGCCCCCGAGACGTGGCGAAGGGGAGGCCGGGTTGAGTCAAATCCGGGCGGGCAGCCCAGCCAGCGCCACGAATAGAGCCCGGGTGCCACCACCGCGTTTAAAATTAGAGCCACCGGGCAGGACCACCAACAACCCCCCCCCCGCTCCCAAAGTCTAAAGCAGCCGCGACCCCCGCAGCCCTGCCTGCCCCGCTTACGCTCAGCAATGCCGCGGCGCAGACGGCCGCCACCAGCGCCCGGCCACCCAGCATCCCGGCGGTTCCCGTGGCGAGTCCTCGCAAAGCCAACCGGAGGAGCCCGTCCGTCTCTCTCGCTCTCGCTCGCTCGCTGCTTTGCTCCGCGCGGCGAAAAAAAAAAGGGCGAGCCCGCGCCAAAGACCCAGCCAAACTTTTTTTTTTCTTTTTTTTTTCCCGGGACGGCTTGGCCCCGCCCCCAGCCCCGCCGGAGACTCAGCAAACCCGGCCTGGATTCCCAGGCGGACGGGCGAGAGTGGTAAAGCCGGGACGGGCGGGCTTGGGAAGTCCCCCGCCCGATTCGTCCCCACTCGCCCGTCTCACTAGAACGGACGACGTGGAAGACACGCCGGCAATGCCTCGCCTACACACACGCGCACACACAAACCCGTTTCCTCCAGGCCGGCCTTTCCACTTGAAACTGACCCTACAGCAGGGAGTGATGTTGGGAAGGGCACCCTAGAGGTCATCTAGGCTAGCCCACCCCTGCTGGCCGCTGTGGGCCTCTCCGACAAGGCTGCTTTCTGTCTCCTCTGAGGAAACTGACCCTCCAGGCCGGCTTTCCTCCCTGAAACTGAGCCTACGGCAGAGAGTCATGTTGGAAAGGGGACCTAGAGGTCATCTAGGCTAGCCCACCCCTGCTGGCTACAGGACGCTCCTTCGGATGCTGTTGTGGGCCTCTCTGACAAGGCTGCCTTCTCTGAGGAAACTGAGCCTCCAGGCCGGCCTTTCCTCCCTGAAACTGACCCTACGGCAGAGAGTGATGTTGGAAAGGGGACCTAGAGGTCATCTAGCCCACCCCTCCTGGCCACAGGATGCTCCTTCTGAGGCCGCTATGGGCCTCTCCGACAAGGCTGCTCTCTGTCTCGTCTGAGGAAACTGACCCTCCAGGCCAGCTTTCCTCTCTGAAACGGAGCCTATGGCAGAGAGTCATGTTGGAAAGGGGACCTAGAGGTCATCTAGGCTCCCCCTGCTAGCCGCAGGACGCTCCTTCTGACACTGCTGTGGGCCTCTCCGACAAAGCTGTTCTGCCTCCTCTGAGGAAACTGATCCTCCAGGCTGGCCTTTCCTCCCTGAAACTGACACTACAGCAGAGAGTGATGTTGGGAAGGGGACCTAGAGGTCATCTAGGCTAGCCCACCCCTGCTGGCCATTGTGGGCCTCTCCAACAAGGCTGCCCTCTGCCTCCTCTGAGGAAACTGATCCTCCAGGCTGGTCTTTCCTCCCTGAAACTGACCCTAAGGCAGAGAGTGGTGTTGGAAGGGGACCTAGAGGTCATCTAGCCCACCCCTGCTGGCCACAGGACGCTCCTTCTGACACTGCTGTGGGCCTCTCCGACAAGCTGTTCTGCCTCCTCTGAAGAAACTGATCCCCCAGCAGAGAGTGGTGTTGGAAGGGGACCTAGAGGTCATCTAGCCCACCCCTGCTGGCCACACAGGATACTCCTTCCAACGCTGCTGTGGGCACAAGGCTGCTCTGCCTCCTCTGAGCTACCTTCAAGAGGTGGCATGCGCCATAAGGTCCACTGCTTAGTCCTCTTTGACAGGCAGACTGCCACTGCTGTAGGAGAGTTTGACTGGCCGCTGTGATGCCATTTCCCCCTCGGATGCCATCCAAATACACTCATGACTGCAATTGGGCCCAACATTTCTGTTGTTCAGGGAGACATTTGTAAAGTGAGCGCTGTCCCATTTTATGGCCTTTCTTGCCAAAGCCGCTAAATGAATCACTGCAGTCGTTTCAGTTAGCCACACGGTCGTTAAAGTGAACTTGCCTTCCCCGTGGACTTTGCTTGTCGGTTTGTCACAAAAGGGGATCACGTGACACCCCCCCGGGGCACTGCGACCGTCATAAATATGAGCCGGGGTCCAAGCATCTGAATTTGGATCACGTGACTATGGTCGTAAGTGTGAAAAAAACGATCCTAAGTCACTTTTTTTTCCAGTGCTGTTGTAACTTTGAATGGTCACGAAAGGAACTGTTGTTAAGTCGAGGGCTGCCTGCGTATGTGTGGCTCCATCTTGTGGCAGTGGGTCCCATAGGTTAACTGCATGTGGTGGTGGGAATATGCATGGCCCCTTTTCTTGCTCCCCTTTGAGGCAGGATGTCCAGCATGGACGGTGCTATCATTTGAGCCATGGGAACCTAGTCCTTGCTCACTTTTGAAGTTTCCGTGACCAAAATCTGTAATTGCGGCCCGAATAGAATAGAATAGAATAGAATAGAATAGAATAGAATGGAATGGAATGGAATGGAATGGAATGGAATGGAATGGAACAGAAGAGAACAACAGAACAGAATAGAATAGAAAATACAGAATAGAATAGAATTAGAATTAGAATTAGAATTAGAATTAGAATTAGAATTAGAATAGAATAAGAAAATACGGAATGGAACGGAACGGAATGAAACGGAACAGAATAGAATAGAAAATATGGAACGGAACGGAACAGAACAGAACAGAACAGAACAACAGAAAAGAAAATACGGAATGGAATGGAATGGAATGGAATGGAATGGAATGGAATAGAATAGAATAGAATAGAATAGAATAGAATAGAATAGAAAATATGGAATGGAATAGAATGGAACAGAACAGAACAACAGAACAGAACAGAACAGAATAGAATAGAATAGAAAAGAAAATACAGAATAGAATAGAATAGAACAGAACAGAATAGAAAATATGGAATGGAACGGAACGGAACGGAACAGAATAGAAAAGAAAATATGGAATGGAATAGAATAGAATAGAATAAATAGAATAGAATAGAAAATACGGAACGGAATGGAACAGAACAGAACAGAAAATATGGAATGGAATGGAATGGAATGGAATGGAATGGAATAGAGTAGAATAGAATAGAATAGAATAGAATAGAATAGAATAGAATAGAATAGAATAGAATAGAATAGAATAGACCTCCAGTGATGGAGCACCCACGATTTCTGAAGGTAAGCTGTTCCACTGATTAATTGTCCTCACTGTTAGGAAGTTTCTCCTTAATTCCAGGTTGCTTTTCTCTTTGGTTAGTTTCCATCCATTGTTTCTTGTCCTGCCTTCCTGTGTTTTGGGTAAATAGTTCGGCCCCCTTCTCTTCTTTGGGGCAGCCCCTCAGATACTGAAATACTGCTATCACGTCCCCACCCCCTAATCCTTCTTTTCTCTAGACTGGCCATACCCAAATCCTGCGACCGTTCTTCCTATGTTTTAGTCTCCGGGCCTTTAATCGTCTTAGTTGCTCTTCTCTGCACTTTTTTCCAAAGTCTCAATATCTTTCTTTTTTTGTAGCACGATGACCAACATTGCTTGCAGTATTCCAGATGTGGCCTTACTAGGGTTTAGTAAAGCGGTGCTACTCCTTCACGTCATCTTGATTCTATGCCTCTGTTTATACAATCGAGGATTGTATTCGCTTTTTCGGCGGCGGCTGCCATAAGCGGCTGACTCCTATCTGTTTGGCCACAGAGGAATTGTGGTGAATTTGATCTGCGGGCACAGCTGCCCCTTCCAGGTGATCAGGCCAGCAAGCTGTGGGGGGGGAGGGCTCATCCCAAGGAGGCCACCCCCTCCGGTATGGATTCTACGGAGCCCTCAGAAAAAAAAGCTGTTTCTAGTCCTCTTTGAGGAGAGGCCGGACAACGGCCCAGGTACCTCAGACAGATCCAGATGCAGAAAAACCAGCTGTGCCCACTGCAGACACGGCCCTGCGCGCCCTTCCGAGAAACGACAATCACAGCCGAAGCATTGACGAATGGACAGGAAAGCTGCCAGCCTCCATGCTGGCACTAAGAGATTTCTTCCCCTCCACGCACGACCTGAGTCTTAGTTTGCATGCCAGAAAACCTGGCACTGCCTGGCACCGGTTTCTCCTCTAGAAAAAAGAGCGGGCCCCGGAGAAGCGGGTGTAAAAATTTTTTTAAAAAAAAAAGCGATTCATATATTCTTCCCTGGATTAGATCCCAGGGCTGAAGCGTGCCAAAGAGAGAAATTCTGCCTTACAAGAATGCCCTGGTTGGCACGAGCAGTCCTTAAATAGCAAGCAAGAAGGCCTCTCTGCCCCCGGAAAGGGATGGTTTGGGGGGGAGGAGGAGGAGGAGGAGGAGGAGGAGGAGGAGGAGGAGGAGGAGGAGGAGGAGGAGGAGGAGGAGGAGGAGGAGGAAGAAATGATAGAGGCACCGTTTTGAAGTTCAACATCCATCAGAACAGCATCGTTGGGGTGCTGTTCTGGTGCTATAGGGCTCAGGAATGGGGTTGGTTTTTAGCAGGGGTGAAATCCAGCAGGTCCTGACAGGTTCTGGCGAACCGGTAGCGGAAATTTTGAGCAGTTCAGAGAACCGGCGAATGCCACCTCTGGCTGGCCTCAGAGTGGGGTGGGAATGGAGAATTTGCAGTATCCTTCCCCTGGAGCGGGGTGGAAATGGGAATTTTGCAGTATCCTTCCCTCAGGAGTGGGGAGGGAATGGGGAATTTGCAGTATCCTTCCCCTGGAGCGGGGTGGGAATGTGAATTTTGCAGTATCCTTCCCCCAGGAGTGGGGAAGGAAAGGAGATTTTGCAATATCTTTCCCCCAGGAGTGGGGAAGGAAAGGAGATTTTGCAATATCCTTCCCCCAGGAGTGTGGAGGGAATGGAGATTTTGCAGTATCCTTCCCCCAGGAGTGGGGAGGGAATGAAGATTTTGCAGTATCCTTCCCCTGCCATGCCCACAGAACCGGTAGTAAAAAAATGTGGATTTCACCACTGGTTTTTAGGCCAGCGGAAGCAACCCCAACCTCTCCTCTCTCATGGCTCGGAGAGATGGACAGAGAGGACGGCCCCTGCTGATTCTTACAAAGGGAGCCTACACATTCAAGAGCAGTCTACCAGACTGCCGGGAAGAAATGACAAGGAATGCCAGCCTTGTCAGACAGGTCTTCCTTGCGGGTTGGATTTCTGCCATCTGCGGCTTGCCTTGTCGCCGGGGTTTAGCTGTGGCTCTGCCAAACCGGCTCCCTGGCCTGGCATCCGGGACTTTGGGACTTCATGGCGGCTTGTTCGGCAGCGCAACTTGACGGAAGGCGAGGTAGCCTGGCACGTCCCACTAGGAAGCCATAAACCTGGCACGTTTGCATTCCTGCACCCCCCGAGCCACATTTGCCGCGGCCCCAGGCCCTCTGGATCCAGTGAGGGGCCGGGTGATCCTTTGGGAGCAGAGCCCCCTCTCCCCCCTGCTCGAAAAGACCCTTTTCCCTGAGAGCCCCTTCCAAGGTATCCGCTAGACCTTTCTGGGAATGGAAGCGGCAGAAAGTGCCCAGTCCTGGGCACTGAGCCTCTGCCAAGCCAGGGAAGGACCAGCTGCCCAGCTACAGAGGGGTCCAAGAAGGGGGCCTCCTTTACTTCCCCCTCCCCTCCCCGCTCCCTCTTCCCCCTCCCCTGCCACCTGGCTTGGCCCCAAAGTCCTCCGTGAATCACCTTCCTTCCTTCCTTCCTGGCTCCAGCAGGTTAATGATTTCTCAGCCTAACCTGTCCCATCTGCTGGTCTCCCAGGCCCTGCTGGGAGAAGCAGCAGACGGCAGGGCTTCAGGGACATCCTGGCTGGGCTCCAGGGGGGGCCCCCCCAAAGAGCAGCTGAAGGACCCCCCATTGGAGAAAGGGCAGAGCACATCTGTAGAGAGACTTCCATTCTGGCTCCCTTTGGGCCGAAGGTGGTGTTGGGGTGGGGTATGGGGGCAAGCATGCCCAGGTCTCCTATCAAACACTTTCTCAGAGCCCCCATCGTCTCTGGGATTTGGCTTTTCCGGTGGAAACCCACCCCCAAAACAGGCAGCCACAATTCCGGAAAGTGCAAATGATTCTGCCGAGCAAGAATCATGGACAGCTGACCGCTCCCTTCTCCGGCTGGGCGGGCAGGCAGGATGGTGTCACCGGTCACTTCCCTTCCTTATCTCACCAAGGATCTGCCGAAATCTTTCTCCTTTCCTCCTTAGCTGGCCGGGCTTTGAATGAACGTATTAAAGGGGGGTTGGGACGGGGGAAGAGTCACCCATATTACCATGAAAGGCTATGAAAGAGAGAGCCGAGAGATTTCCAGGACTTTGCGGCTACAGCCGGAGGAGACGCCAAGAAAAGACGGGCCAAAAAAATGCCCCTTCGGCTCAGCCTCTCCCTGGCTCTAGTTTCTGGGGAGGGGGGGTGGGGAATGGGGTGGGGGTGTTGTCACAGGAGAGGCCGCTCTGCTGATGCTCAGAGGCACTACTGGTAATCCTCAACTTACGACCCCAAATTTTGAGCCCAATATTTATGTTGCTGAGCGAAACATTTGCGACGTGAATTTTGGTCCCGTTTTACAAGTTTCCTTTTCACACTTACAGGGGGGGGGGGGGGGGGGCTAGATGACCTCCAAGGTCCCTTCCAACTCTTGTTATTCAAGGCTGCTTATTCTGTCAGCATTGAGGAAGAGGCTTCATGGCAGGTCAGCCCTGCTCTGTCAAGAAGAGGCCGGCCAGGGCTGGCTGCTGGCTTCACGAAGCCTCGAACCCTTGGCCTTCAGTGTGTGAGATCTCCCTGCTTGTGTCTCTGAGCAAACTGAGACAAGGTTCTAGTCCCTCCTGGCCCAGATACAGGTTAACCTGAGTAAGAGCAGAAGAAACTCCTGGTGCTGTTTTGCCAGCAAGGCCTTTGCCCTGCCAGCACAGATTGGCAGTGCCCCTTCTTCTTCTCCCGCAAACCTCCCTGCCCCCCCCCGTCCTCCGAACAGCTGCGTCTCCTGTGGGGCGGGAGAAGGAGGGCAGATAGGAGTTTGGGACACAAGGCTAAACTCTGTCCTTGGGCCGCCAGAAGTGGCAACGTGTCCCCATCCCTGGGCTTGGAAAGGGGCGGCATAAAAGGGGCTGCGGCTACCCCCACCGTCCCAGAGAGCCACTCTGCCATCAGCATGTGGAAACTCCTTCTCCTCGCGTTCCTGCTGGCTGCCGAGGGTAAAACCCCACCACCTGGGCAGGGGCACTTGGCACCTATGCTGGGCTCCCCGGAAAAGCCGGAGAACGAGGGTGAAAAGCCCCCCATGCTGCCCAAATCTTTTGCGGTTGGGATTTTCTGCTTCATTCAGCTGGGCTGGAAGAATCGCCTCTCCTTTCTCCCGAGCCACTGGACATCATCCCTGACTTCCAGGAGTTGGGGGGTGAAGGGCTGTTCAGCCAAAGCAGGCATGGGGCGGGGTAAGGTGGCAGTCGGGCTATTGTGGCAACAGGGACACCAGCTCCCTTTCCGAAGCTTTAGGCATTGAACTGGCATTTGCAGAAGCGGTGGTAGAGGCTGGGCACCAACAATCCACGTCTTGCACAATTCCCCGAAAATAAGACCCTGTCTTATATATTTTTTGAACCCCGAAATAAGCGCTTGGCCTTATTTTTGGGGGAGGTCTTATTATTTTGGGGCGCCTGGAGCAAGACGGGGCTCCTCTTGCCGTCTTACCTGATTTTAGTTTCAGCTTCTGTTTACATATTTTCAGGGAGGGCTTATTTTCGGGGGGAGGGAAGGCTTATTTTACCGCAGGCTTATTATCAGGGGAAGTCTTATTTTTGGGAGAAACAGGGTAGTAACTCATTGAGTGTCTGTGCGTGGCTACGCATCCATGTAGAGAGTTAGTGGCCAGGAAGACGGGAGAAGCAGTCCTTGGAAAGGCAACTCCGTGTGACTAGATTAGGTGATTCGCCTGACGAGGCGACTCAGTGGCTGGACTAGATGACCTCCGAGATCCCTTCCAACTGTAACTGATTGTGTGATATTTTCTCTCCCCCCCCCGTTTTGCTCAGCCCACGGCTGTGGAGACCCCGTGTATTCCCCCGTCCGAACCGGGGGGTAGTTAACGGAGAAGATGCCATTCCTTACAGCTGGCCCTGGCAGGTAAGTGGGCGATTCCCTCCTCTACTCCCAGTAGCGGCACCACAAAGGCAGAAGGTTGGGTGAGAACTTTGGAGAACTTTGGAGGGGAGAGGAATTAACAAGTCTCCCTCGTTTGCCACAGGTGTCCTGCAATACCAGGCTGGAGATTACTTCTACCACACCTGCGGGGGGAGCCTCATCCACCCCAACTGGGTGATGACCGCTGGGCACTGCATCTCGTGAGTCTCCCTCGGGCACCTTGGCGCTCCTGGCGCGGGGCAGGGGAGGAGGAGGCGCTCGCTAATGGAGGGCTAGAAGCAGGGGTGAAATGTAAAATTTATTACTACCGGTCCTGTGGGTGTGGCTTGAGGGGGAGGGGTAATGTGACTGGGTGGGTGTGGCCAACCTTTTTTTTTTTTTTTAACTTTTCAATTTTTTTCTAATGCTTTGAAAAGCCTCTGCCGATCAGGCAACTCAGCTGGGATCGTCAGAGACTTTTCAAAGCTTTTTTTTTAACCACCTCTTTGGCCAGGAGGTTGCAGAAAAAAATGCTTTGAAAAGCCTCTGATGATCCCAGCTGAGCCGTGCGATCATCAGAGGGTCTTTTTTTTAAAACTTTTAAAAACATTTTTTCGTCGGAAGAAGTTGTGTAATTATTTTTATTTATTTTATTTATTTTATTTATTTATTTATTTATTTATTTTATTTATTTTTTTTATTTTATTTATTTATTTATTTATTTATTTATTTATTTATTTGTTTGTTTATTTGTTTGTTTGTTTGTTTGTTTGTTTGTTTATTTATTAATTATATTTCTATACCGCCTTTCTCCCGTAGGACTCAAGGCGGTGTACAGTCAAGAAAAATATAGACACACAAACATAAAATTTAAAAAGCTTTTAAAAGTAAAAAAAAAAAAAACCCCTGATGATCGTGCGGCTGAGCTGGAAATGCGGGGGGGGGCAGGGATTTTTGCTACCGGTTCTCCGAACCACCTGCTGCCATCGCTACCGGATCGGGTGATCCGGTCTGAACCGGGAGCATTTCACCCCTGGCTAGAAGGAGCCCTAGCTAGGCGCTCCTGGCGCAGGGCAGGGGAAGGAGGCGCTCGCTAATGGACGGCTGGAAGGAGACCCAGCGTCCTCCCCCCTGGTCTCACCCCGCTGCCCCCTTCCCTCAGTCCACAGAACCGCTACAGGGTCGTCCTTGGTGACTATGACCTGCGCAAGAAAGAAGGCCCGGAACAGGTGATCTTAATCAACCCTGGGGAGATCTTTTTGCATCCTGGCTGGAACCCCAACTGCATCTCCTGCGGGTGAGTAGAACCGTTCCTGCTTCAAAGGGGGGGGGGGGTTGGCCAGGAGGTGGGGATGGGGGTGGGTGTCTTCTTGCAAAGGAAATCCCAGGAAGGAAAAAAATCCCCTCCCAACACCGGCGCCACCTCTTCTTGCAGGGACGATATCGCTCTGATCAAACTTTCCCGCCGGCCGTTCTCAACGACAAGGTGCAGCTGGCGTGCCTCCCCCCACGAGGAGAAGTGCTCCCTAACCATCATCCCTGCTACATCACTGGCTGGGGCAGGCTCTACAGTAGGTCCCGGCCGGGAGGTGGGGGGACAGAGAAGACAGCCGCGGAAATAGCAATAGCACCTAAGACTTATATACCGCTTCACAGTGCTTTTACAGCCCTCTCTAAGCAGTTTACGGAGTCAGCCTCTTGCCCGCAAAACAATCTGGGTCCTCATTTTACCCACCTTGAAGGGACAGAAGGCTGAGTCAACCTTGAGCCGATCAGGATCGAACTGCTGGCAGTGGGGCAGAGTTCGCCTGCAATACCGCATCCTAACCACTGGGCCACCCTGCAAAGAGTGAAACCATTCACCGGGGGTGGGGTGGGAATGTTTCTCTTCCAGCCGGAGGCCCCACCCCTGACGTCCTGCAGCAGGCACTTCTGCCAGTGGTGGACCACGCGCATTGCTCCCAGCCGGACTGGTGGGGAACTTCGGCCAAGGAGAGCATGGTGTGTGCCGGCGGGGACATCAAATCCGCCTGTCACGTGAGTAGAAGCCCGGAGGGGTCCCGGCCGGGTACAGTCTGGGGTTTGGAGATCAGGGGACAAAGGAAACTGGAATCTCCTTTCCTGGATTAGCAACCCAATCCGATCCAATCAGAATAGAGCTACCTGGAGGGAACCTTGGAGGTCTTCTAGTCCAACCACCTGCTCGAGCAGGAGACTCTATACCCGTGATGGCGAACCTATACGCGGAGCCATATTGGTCGGCATGCAAGCTCAGCTTTTGGGCCTTCTGGGCCCACTGAAAGTCAGGCTGGGGAAGGCCGTTTTTGCCCTCCCCAGGCTCCTAGAAAGGCTCTGGAGCCTAGAGAGGGCGAAAAACAGGCTTACTGCACCCATGATGCCATCACGTGCCAAAAGCGGGGGAAGCACGGAGGGGTCGCACACATATGCACGGGGGTGAGGCGCATAGAATTATGGGTGTGGGCATGTGTGTGTGCGATCCCCCCTGCACTCCCCCCAACTTTTGGCACGCAATGGCAAAAAGGTTAGCCGTCGCTGCCTTATACCATTCCAGACAAGTCAATATCATCTTAAAAATCTCCAGGGACGGCAATGCAGGGGAAATTAGGCTGCCCCTTACTGCGTTGTGTGTCTGGACAAAAAGCTAGAAAATGCTGGAGAAAATCCCTCCGAGGATCCAGGGGTGAAATTCAGCATGTTCTGATGAACTGGTAGCGGAAATTTTGAGTAGTTTAGAGAAGTGGCAAATACCACCTCTGGCTGGCCCCAGAGTTGGGTCGGAATGGAGACTTTGCAGTATCCTTCCCTCAGGAGAGGGGAAGGAATTGGAATTTTGCAATATCCTTCCCCCAGGAGTGGGGAGGGAATGGAGATTTTGCAGTATCCTTCCCCCAGGAGTGGGGAGGGAATGGGGATTTTGCAGTATCCTTCCCCCAGGAGTTTGGAGGGAATGGGGATTTTGCAGTATCCTTCCCCTGCCACGCCCACCAAGCCACGCCCTCAGAACCGGTAGTAAAAAAATTTGAATTCCACCACTGTGAGGATCCTGTCCTTGAGCTGGGGGGATGGGGGGGGGGCTCTGTGAGCAACAGCCCCCTCCCAGGGAGACAGCAGCTGAGAAATATTTGCCTTGTCCTGCCGCTAACAAGCTTTCCAGGCAGCTTAGGGAGTGGGGGGGGAAAGCATGTTTCTAAGGATAAACTACATATTTCAGGGTGACTCCGGTGGCCCCCTCAATTGCCCAGCTGCTGACGGCCGGTGGTACGTTCATGGGGTGACCAGCTTCGTCTCGATATGGGGCTGCAACGTCCTGCAGAAGCCCACCGTCTTCACCCGCGTCTCTGCTTTCATCCCCTGGATGGAGCAGGTATTGCCCAGCCTCCATATTTGGGGGAGGGGGAGGGGACAGGTGGGTGGGTGGGGAGGATGGCGAGATCCCCTTGCCCTCTTCGGAGCTCCCCGTGTCCGTCCCTTCCCCTCCAAGCGGGACAATTCGGTCGACGTTTGCGCTTGAGCGATGCAACGGGGTCTTCCAAAACGGCCTTCCCTTTTCCCACCGGCCAACTCGACAGCCTCTTATCGCCTAAGGCCAGTGAGAGAAACCAAGCTTTGTGTAGGTCAGGCCCAAGGGTGGGCTGCTGGGGGTTCGCAGACGCCCACCCCGGGAGATCCTCTAGCTAAGATCCTGTGCAGTTCGGAAAACCCCCAAATTCCACTCCGGGCTGGCCACACCAACCCCTTCCCTCCCTTGAGTCCCCATGCAGGCCGTTTTGGATGCAGATAAGTGCAGGCGTGCGCGGAGGCTTGGGGAGGGCAAAAAACGGGCCTACCGGAAGTTTCCGGCCTCCAGAGGGCCTCCGGAGCCTGGGGAGGCCAGTTTCGCCCTCCCGGAGGCTCAAAAAAAGGCTCCGGAGCCTGGGGAGGGCAAAAATGCACACCCCTCCCACCGTGATGCAGGAGGCTGACTAGGCCACGCCCACCATGGCCATGCCCACCCAGCAACCAGGCAGAGAACCCCTTGCTAAAATTTTTGAAGCCCACCCCTGGTCAGGCCGTTTTTGCACGCTCACAAACCAACGTGCCCTCCTCGCACAACTCCCTAATGCCAGATAGTCGCTTTTTTCCTTGCAGATCATTTCCAGATATTCCAGTTAAGCAGAAACCTGTGGCGTTTCCAGATTGAGCTGTACTTGTATAAAAAATAATAGTAATGATAAATATTTTCCTGGCTGCAGCATGTTGTCCTCTTGTTCTTCTTCTTCTTCTTGGTCTTGTTCGAATCCTCTCCTCTCCACTGTCATTTTGGGGGGGGGGTTGCCACTGTGTTTGGAGTGGGGGACACACGCCCCAAGGAGGTTTCCATTCCCTGATCCCTTCTTCACCCTCTCTGCCCCTGATGAAGGGTGTGCAAAATCTGGCAGAACTAAACCCACATGATCTGCCCTTTTTAATGAAAATATATACCTGTGCTATATATACACACATACACACACCCCCTTGGGAATTAATTTCTACAGAGGCGACATGAGTATTCGTTTCCCCCCCCCTTCACCACTTTGGACCAGGGTGAAATCCAGCAGGTTCTAGCGAACCGGTAGCGGAAATTTTGAGCAGTTTGGAGAACCAGCAAATACCACCTCTGGCTGGCCCCAGAGTGGGGTGGGAATGGAGATTTTGCAATATCCTTCAGCTGCCATGACCACCAAGCCACACCACACCACGCCCACCACACCACGCCCACAGAACCAGTAGTAAAAAAAAGTTGGATTTCACCACTGCTTTGGACCCACATTCAATGTGTGTTTCATCCTCTGTGATGTCCATAAAATCTCAAGCATTCCTCTAAACTCCACAAGCAGGAGGGGGGGGGGGGGAGAAAAAGAGAAAGAAAGAAAAAGAGAGAAAGAAAAAGAGAGAAAGAGAGAAAGAGGGAGAGAAAGAAAAAGAAAGAAAGAAAAAGAAAGAGGGAGAGAAAGAAAAAGAAAAGGGAAGGAAAGAAAGAGAAAGAAAAAGAAAAGGAGGGGGAGAAGGAGAAAGAAAGAAAGAAAGAAAGAAAGAAAGAGAGAAAGAGAGAAAGAAAGAGAAAGAAAGAAAGAAAAAGAGAAAAGGAAGGACAGAAAGAGAAAGAAAGAAAGAAAGGAGAGAAAGAAAAAAGAGAAAGAGAAAGGAAAGAAAGAAAAAAAGAAAAGAAGGGAGAGAAGGAGAAAGAAAGAGACAGAAAGGAAAAAAAAGAGAAAATGAGGGACAGAAAGAAAAGGAAAGAAGGAAAGAGATAGAGAGAAAGAAAAAGAAAGAAGGAGAGAAAGAAAAAGAAAAAGAAAAAGAAAGAGGAAGGAAAGAAAGAAAAAGAAAAAGAGGGAGAGGAGAAAGAAAGAAAAAGAAAGAAAGAAAAAGAAATGGAGGGAGAGAAAGAGAAAGAAAAAGAAAGGAAGAAAGAAAAAGTGAGAAAAGGAGGTAGAGAAAGAGAGAAAGAGAAAGGAAGAGGAAGAGAAAGAATGAAAGAAAGGAAGAAAGAGAAAGAGAAAGAGAGAGAGAAATCAGTCCAACATCAAAGAAGAAGATGCATCTCTTACCTTTTCTCTCACCTGTCTTTCTCTCTCGTGGGCCGGCTGGGGAAAGGTTGGGTGGGGGGCTCAGAAGAAAGCTACATGTGGGGTCAGGGCCCACTTGTCCAGCTCTCGGCCAGAAGAGCCTGTTCACAAAGAAGGATAAGCATATTCAGACAAGCGAGCGATCGATGGCCCTCTGTGCGGCCACAATTCACGTGGGTTGCTACAAAACAGAACCTTCAGAGCCCCCCCTCCCCACTTTTCCAACCTTAGGCAGGCTATCCTAATTGGGGGGAAGGTCTGAATTTTCTCCCCAAAGCCAGAGTTACGAAAGGGGCTGGTCCAGAGATGCAGGCAGAATAATCCCCTTCCTAATAAACCCTTCAGGAACGCGGTGGCTCAGTGGCTAAGACGCTGAGCTTGTCAATCGAAAGGTCGGCAATTCAGCGGTTCGAATCCCAGCGCCGCGGAACGGGATGAGCTCCCGTGACTTGTCCCAGCTTCTGCCAACCTAGCAGTTCGAAAGCACGAAAAAAAAATGCAAGTAGAAAAATAGGGACCGCCTTTGGTGGGAAGGGAACAGCGTTCCGTGCGCCTTTGGCGTTGAGTCATGCCGGCCACATGACCACGGAGACGTCTTCGGAAAGCGCTGGCTCTTCGGCTTTGAAACGGAGAGGAGCATCGCCGCCTAGAGTCGGGAACGACTCGCACATACGTGTGAGTGGAACCTTTACGTTTACCCTTTGGCCAAGGAAATACGCTGATTGAGGGGGGGAAGTTGCGAGATCCCTATCTGGGAATGGAGGGGCTTGGGGCTGGTTTGCACAGAGGCAGCCCCCCCCTCAAGGCACAGCAAGGCAGGGAGGAAGACTGATGCCCATCAGCTGAAGTGGTTCCTGGGTATATCCCCACCCACCCACCTGGATGGACGTTCTCCTGTTAAGATTATTCTTTGCTGGAATAGATACTTATCATGCCAGTAGTCCTCAAAGTACAGCCAGAATTGAGCCCGACATTTACATTGCTAAGCGAGAAACTTGTTCAGTGAGCTTTGCCCCATTTTCTTGTAGAGTGTCCGTTCAGCGAACCCCTGCGGTTGTTAAGTTAGGGACATCGTTGTTAAGTGAATCTGGCTCCCCCATTCACCTCGCTCTGGGATGCTGCAACCATCGTAAATATGAGTCGCTTGCCAAGCGTCCGAATGTAAGTCACGTGATTGTGGGAATGCTGCAACGGTCGTAAGTGTGAAACATGGTCGCAGGTCCCTTTTTTACAGCGCCATCGTAACCTCGAACGGTCCCTAAACAAACTGTTGTCAGTCGAGGACTACCTGAACACGTATATAGCTGTGCAGAACTGGCAGATACTCAGAGGTCATTTAGTCTAACCCAAAGATATTGAAGGTAATACGAATGGCCCTGTACACTTGGCGGGCTGGCCAGAATCACAGGGAGAAAAGAGTCTGGGACTTGAAGTTTGGAGATGTCCCTTTTTCTTCTTATTCCAAATGATTCCAAATGATTCCAAAGCCCATTCCTCCCCTTTTAGCTCAACCTATGGTGGTATTCAGCTGGTTCTGACCGGTTCACCCGAACCAGTTACTGAATTTATGGTGGTATTCAGCCGGTTTGGACCAGTTCACCTGAACAGGTAGCTGAACTTATGGTGGTATCCAGCTGGTTCGGACCGGTTCACCCAAAATGATAGCTGAATTTATGGTGGTATTCAGCCAGTTCGGACTGGTTCACCCGAACCAGTAGCTGAACTTATGGTGGTATTCAGCCGGTTCACCCAAGCGGGTTCGGATCGGTTCACTCAAACGGGTAGCGGAAATCGCGGGTGGGCCCGTATACCCGCACCGGCTCTATGCCATCCTATTTAGGCATGTTTTTGAGGCCAGTTACATGCATGGAAGGCGCACACACCAGCAAAGCACATGCACAAGGAAAGGAGGACAAGGAGCCAGAGGAAGGGACGCTGCCTCCCCAGACACCCCACACACACAATTTCTCCACTGGGCAAGAAACACACACCTTTGGGTTACACACATACACACACACACACACACGTGGCGTTCACATCCTTTCCAGATTACACACCGCTGAGCCAAGGCTTGCCAAGTAAGCCGTTCTGGGCAAAAAAAATTAAATTAAAAAAAAAATCACACTACCCGTGTTACATAAACCTCTGGAAACAAAAGGATTATTCCTGACTGCCACGTCTGGATCGTATGACGGGCTAATTCCAAGCAGGAGCAAAATTCAGGGTGTTTTTTTGCACCCCAGCTGGATCTGCCAGGAAATCCCCTGGGAGCCAGCCCAGAAATCCTTATTTTTTTTTTTTTTGCCCCCCCCCCCCCTGGAGCGGTGGGAATCGGCCCCTGTTACGGGGGGACACAACGGGGAGGAAGCGTCTCATGCCCTCTGCGTCAACTTCGCCCCTGGCCTTGGCAGCTTCCAGGCCCTCCTCGCCTGGCCAAGGCGCCAGCTGTTGCTTTCCCTGGGGAGCAGGCCTTGGCTGACCCCGCCAGGGCCATGGGCATTGTCACACCTGCTGTGCCCAAGGTCCCCGTGGCACCTGTGGGGAGGGGTATTTAAGGCTCAGGATGGCCTGACAGTCATCCTGAAAAGATGCTTCCGCTGCTGATTAACGTCCTGTTGGTGGCCGGTGGTAAAGGCGCATCCCCCGCCCTCCCACCCCCCATCACCGGGGGTCTCCTAGCCCCTTGCCCTGGTCTTGGAGGAGGAAAAGATCAAAAGGTCTCTGCTCCTTAGAGGGCTCAGTGTCCGGGGTCTCAGACAGTCCCCCCTCTTCTCTTCCGCAGCCGCTGGGTGTGGGCAACCAGCCTACTCTTCCAACAGCCGAGTGGTGAACGGCGAAGACGCTGAGCCTTACAGCTGGCCCTGGCAGGTAACGTGGCCCCACTCCTCCCCGTCAGGCGCACCCAATCAGCACCGCAGAGGACTGACAGCCATCACAGGCAAAGAGCTCTGCCTTGAGCCGAACGAACCGGATCGGCCTGAATGGCTGGCAATTAGGCTGCCCCATCCCCCCCAGCGTCTCCAGGGGAGGCTGAGAAAGCCTGGCCTGAGTGCGGAGCGGCTGGACCAGGTGTTCTTTAGGGTGGGTGACATCTCCCCCTTCCCAGCGTCTCCCTCTCTTTGCCCTCTCGCAGATCTCCCTCCAGTACGAGAGAGATGGCGTCTTCCGTCATACCTGCGGAGGGTCCCTCATTACCCCCGACTGGGTCATGACAGCTGCCCACTGCATCTCGTAAGTTTTCCGGGCACGGCTGGAGCATCGCCCTCCCTCTGGAGTCCAGAGAGGCTTTGCATGGGGAGCCTCCCCCTTTCCTCCTTGGAGCCCATCTTCCTTCCTTCCTTCCTTCCTTCCTTCCTTCCTTCCTTCCTTCCTTCCTTCCTATTTTCTTTTTTCCTTCCTTCCTTATTCTCATTTCTATCTCCTTCCTTCCTTATTCTCCTTGCCCTCTTCTCATTCCCTTCCTTATCTCCATCTTCCTTCCTTCCTTCTTTCTTATTTCCATCTATTTTCTTCTTCCTTCTTCTCATTTCTTCCCTCCTCATTCTATTCCTTCCTTGTTTCTATCTTCCTTCCTTCCAATTTCCATCTATTTTCTTCTTCCTTCCTTCCTTTTCTCATTTCTATCTCCTTCCTTCCTTCTTCTCATGTCTTCCCCTCCTCATTCTATTCCTTCCTTATTTCTATCTTCCTTCCTTCCTTCCTTCCTTCCAATTTCCATCTATTTTCTTCTTCCTTCCTTCCTTCTTCTCATTTCTATCTCCTTCCTTCCTTCTTCTCATGTCTTCCCCTCCTCATTCTGTTCCTTCCTTGTTTCTATCTTCCTTCCTTCCTTCCTTCCATCTATTTTCTTCTTCCTTCCTTCCTTCTTCTCATTTCTATCTCCTTCCTTCCTTCTTCTCATGTCTTCCGCTCCTCATTCTATTCCGTCCTTATTTCTGTCTTCCTGCCTTCCTGCCTTCCTGCCTTCCTTCCTTCCTTCCTTCTTCCATCTATTTTCTTCTTCCTTTCCTCTTTCTTATTTCTAGCTCCTTCTTCTCATTTCTTTCCCTCTTCATTTCTTTCCCTCTCTCCTTTCCTTCTTCTCTCTTGCCCCCTTTGTTTAAAGTCAGTTTTTCCTGCTTTCATCCTTTGTAGACATATCACAGGCTGGTCCTAAAAATCTATAGAGATTCTCAGTCATCCAGGTCAAAAGCACATTTGGGAGCCCCTTGTCCTGTTTAGGTTCTTTTTCCCAAAGTAAGGAGCGAGGTCGCCCAACCCCTCTGGTCTGCGGGGGAGGGGGATGCACGCAGACCCCCTGAGCACCCTCCCCTGCCCTCTGAAAGCCGCTGGGCGATTTCTTCCACAGGCGATCTCGGACGTATAAGGTGGTGCTGGGGGATTATGACCTCACAGCCGAGGAAGGATCTGAGCAACACGTCCCCATCAACCCTGAAGACATTTTCGTGAATCCCAGCTGGAAACCCAGTTGTGTGTCCTGCGGGTAGGCAAAGAATGTCCGTCATTCGGGGGGGGGGTGGAAAGAGAGAAGGAAAGCCTCCAGCGTCCCACACGCTGCTGGGGATGGGACTCTGGGGGTTTGGGAGAACCTCTAGCTAAGATTCTGTGCAGTTCGGACAACCCCCAAATCCCACTCCTGGCTGGCCCCTCCCACCCCACCCCGCCCCTCCCAGGAGTCCCCACACGGCCCGTTTTTGATGCAGGTAAGTGCAGGGCATATGTGGAGGCTCGGGGAGGGCGAAAAATGGGCCTTCGGGAAGTTCGGGAAGGCCTCCAGAGGGCCTCCGGAGCCTGGGGAGGCCATTTTCGCCCTCCCGGAGGCTCAAGGAAAGCCTCCGGAGCCCGGGGAGGGCAAAAACCCCCACCCCCCGCCATGGTGCAGGAGGCCGACTAGGCCACGCCCACCCAGCAAACCCCTGGACTCCCACCCACACGTCTATCTCCCTCTTCTGCTCCAGCAATGACATCGCCCTGCTGAAACTTTCCCGCCGGGCGGAACTCAACGACAAAGTCAGCCTGGCCTGCATTCCCGAGCCAGAGACCGTCCTGCCCAACGGATACCCTTGTTACATCACAGGCTGGGGACGTCTTTTCAGTACGTGGGGTGCTCTCTGGAGGGGAGGGGGGAGGGCAGGGAGCCTGGCAGGAAGGCCTGACGCTGTTTTTCCCTCCACAGCTGGAGGGCCTCTGTCCACCAAGCTGCAGCAGGCTCTCCTGCCCGTGGTGGACTATGACCACTGCAGGAAGCCCGATTGGTGGGGAGGCTCCGTCCGGCCAAGCATGGTCTGCGCTGGAGGTGACATCCAATCTGGTTGCAATGTAAGTGGGCGCCTGGAAGGAGGAACACCGTTGGGCACGGTCTCGTTTCCTTAAACTGCTCTGGCAAAGTTCTACAGGCAGTTAAACAGCCTGTCAAAACAAGAAAAATCGAGTAGTAAAAACTACAGAGCAGCATTTAGGAAAGAATCTTCAAAGCAGGAAGGGATGGTGAATGCTACCCTCTGGTGGCCGATAGGAGGCACTACACTACAAAGGGAATTTGTTGTTAGTTGCGAAGTTGTGTCCGACCCATCACGACCCTATGGACAACGTTCTTCCAGGCCTTCCTGTCCTCTATCTTCCCCCAGAGTCCATTGAAGCTCACGCCGACTGCTTCGGTTACTCCATCCAGCCACCTCGTTCTAGGTGTAGTCTTACTAAGGCTTTAGAGAGTGGTATTACTACCTCACTTGATCTTGATTGTTGTTGTTAGTTGCGAAGTCGTGTCCGACCCATCGCAACCCCATGGATGACGTTCCTCCAGGCCTTCCTGTCCTCTACCATCCTCCGGAGACCATTTAAGCTCACGCCAACTGCTTCAGTGACTCCATCCAGCCACCTCGTTCCCTGCCGTCCCCTTCTTCTTTTGCCCTCCATCGTTCCCAGCATTTGGCTCTTCTCCAGGGAGTCCTTCCTTCTCATTAGGTGGCCAAAGGATTTGAGTTTCCTCTTCAGGATCTTGGCCTTCCAAAGAGCAGTCAGGGTTGATCTCCTCTAGGACTGACCGGTTGGATGGCCTTGCAGTCCAAGGGACTCGCGGGAGTCTTCTCCAGCACCAGAGTTCAAAGGCCTCCATTCTTTGGCTGCTCAGCCTTTTCTTATGGTCCAACTTTCACAGCCATCCATTGCAACTGGGAAAACCATCGCCTTGATTATACGCTCTTTTGTTGGCAGGGTGATGTCTCTGCTTTTTAGGATGCTGTCTAACTTTGCCATAGCTTTCCTCTCCAGGAGCAAGCGTCTTTTCATTTCTTGGCTGCAGTCCTCATCTTGGAGCCCAGGAAAATAAAATCTGTCACTCCCTCCATTTCTTCCCCATCTATTTGCCAGGAATTGAGAGGGCCGGATGCTATGATCTTAGTTTACAAAGGGAATGTAAATGGTCATATACAGAAAAACGGGCTGCCTTTTGGGGGCCAATTCTTAATATTTTTGTTCACTTGATCGATACGTTCTCGCATTCTTGAAACTCCTGGAGCAAAGCAGGAGGAGCTACTTCCCCCCCCCCCCCGGTCAGAAAAAGCCTCTGAATGTGAAGGCATCCAGCCAAACAGAAGTAAATTTTAGACCGTATGTTTTTCAAACTTGGGAAACACTTTTAAGAACATGTTTAGATTTCAACTCCCAGAATTCCCCAAGCGAGCCACAGGCCAAGTAGGTATTAGAGTCGTACAGGAATAAATCTAGTCTGTCTCCCCGTTTCAAAGACTCCCTGGGACATAAATATGGAAATTGCGAAAGGGAATTGGGAATAGTTAAGAAACGGGATAGATGCCAGGAGAAAAATCAAGGAAGTGGGGGGAAAGACGAGGTGGCAGAGAACTTGGCTCTTCTGCATAATGACTAAAGGTGACCACCAGGAGGCAGCACCTGAAGACATTTACTGTACTGCAGGGAAGATGGTGCTCGGACGTTGGCATTGACTGTACCCCTGTTTTAATTTTTATTTTTTTTAATGTTGGGATGTTCCTGAAAGCAGAAAGCCGGCGGAAAAAGCCTTTCCTGAAGTTTGCCACGTTGAAACGAGTCCAACGGGCAGAGAGGGCAGCGTTCTCTCCTGCCCATTTCCAAAGTGCTGGGCATCTTTAACAGACTGACAGAGTTGGAAGGGCCCTTGGAGGTCATTTAGTCCAACCCGCCCCCTCCCGAGCAGGAGACCCTACGCCATTTCTGACAGATGGCAGCCCAGTCACTTCTTGAAAGCTTCCAGTGGTGAAGCTCCCACAACTTCCGAAGGCAACTTCTGTTCCATCGGTTGATTGTTCCCACTGTCAGGAAATTCCTCCTCATTTCCAGGTTGAATCTCTCCTTGTTCAGTTGCCATCCATTATTATTCCTTGTCTGGCCTTCAGGTGCCTTGGAAAACAGCTTGACCCCCCTCCTCTCTGTGGCAGCCCCTTGAATATTGGAACCCTGCTATCATGTCTCCCCTAGTCCTTCTTTTCATTAAACTAGACCTACCCAGGTCCTGCAACCATTCTTCATATGTTTTAGCCTCCGGTCCCCTCATCATCTT